GCCATTAAACGTTTTTTATGAAAAATATTACCAAAGTTCTCACGGTTCCAAAGTTGGATATAGTCAACCGTGGTTTGCGAGCCTTGAACAAAATCTGCTTCTAACCCGTGGGACTGATTCCTAATCATATCACTGAATCCCTTCTCTCACATAGCTTGGAAGCGAAATAGACGATTCACTTTCGACACCACCTAAGCCGGAACCCTTTGTTGAAGAAGCGGACAGTGTTTAGAGTGGAGGCGAAGAATATGAGTGACCAGAGCTTCAGGGAACATAGTCCTCCAGTTCGAGCTTGCAAGCAATATGTCTAGCCTTGCATAAATTTTTATGATGCCATGTCTCTTATTTCACCAAGTGAAAGGAGTTCCCTGGAAACCAAGGTCCATCAAGTTACAGTTCAGTAACATTTAATTAGAAAGACGACGCCTGAAGATAGATGGTTGTCTACCACCAAACTTCTCACTATAATTGAGAACCTCGTTGAAATCTCCTACAATAAGCCAGGGAGGAATAACAGACTGAGCGAAATCACTAAGACTCGTCCAAAGTTCGCTACGAGTTTTAAGAACCGGGTTAGCATAGATAATAGAGAGCAAAAACGGATCAGAGTTGAAACATTTGACCAAACCGTGAACTAATTGAGAAGAAGAGAACAAAATATCGATGGAGGTAACTTGATCATCCCAAACAATCCAAATACCCCGTAAAACCAACGGGGTCTTTGATATGAATCTTCGGGAACTCAAATTTCTTAGCCATTCATCGAGCCTTGTTACCAGAGATGCTGAGTTCTACGATAGAAAAAGTGCTCGGATTATGAGAGCTAATAATATCCTTAGCATTACGTAAAAACTCTCTATTTCCGGCACCTATACAATTCCAAGTAATCACATTCATTCATAAACAATGTGGTTGGTCTCAAGCTAAAGCTGCTCGCTTAAGGGAGCAATATCATTGGCATCGATCGTCATTTCACTCAACTGGGTGTCTTCCAGACTCAAATGCGTGGTCTCTATACTATTTTTCAAAACCAGGTTGGCATGGTTAACATCAGTTGCTTCAAATCTCTACAGTCAGTGTAGCCCATAGCTGTGGTAGTGTTGTTCTCGCTCATAACATCATCAGTGTTGTTATTCCTATTATTGGATTCCAAATTCAAATCATTTGTTACAATAGAGGGGTCCATAGATAATAGGAGCATTTTTACGTGGAACCTTCGCCACCTTGGGTTGAACCTTTGCTCCTTGTGGATTGGTTTTGGCACGTGGCCAGCTTTAGGATTTCCCCCCTCCAGGATTAGTGCTAGTCTGAACCATGGCAGATCCAAGAATTTTTTTCAGGGCGGACACTAATATATTAATAACACAAAATTTTAAAGATATAAACACTAATAATATTTTAATTATAATAAAAAGTTTACAAAAAATACAATTAAAAATAAATTTTACAATTGTTTTTTTCTCGACCTCATTTTCTGATATCGTTGTATAATATTTTTATTGTCTACATTATCAAATATATCTTTCTCAATAAAAGTAACTAAGCAATCATTCAACCATTCATCTCTCATACGATTACGTAGTTGATTCTTTATAAAGTGCATCACGGAGAATATTCTTTCCATTGTTTTGGTTGCAACCGATAAAACCAAAGCTAGCTTCAAAAGTAAGTATACAAGTTGGTACACAACTTGGTACACAACTTGTTTCATTGTCTCAACCATCTTTTCTGATAAATCAAAAATTCATTTTAGATCAAAAAAATCTTTCATCTGAACAAACATAAACAACATAATTCTCAAGCAAACAATCGAGCAATATAAGATCTCCTGTAGAAAATTCATAAGTATAAAATTGGGCAAGACGAATCAACATTTTCTTATCAAAAGAAAGAAACAAGTCTCTTGGGCTCAAACTAGCAACACAAAGAAGCAACTCTGTACTTGTCTCAGAAAAACGATTATTAAGCTCTTAAAATTGTCTATCAATTACTGATAAAATAATTCAACTTGAAAAATGATGCAAATTTGAAACTTCACAAACTTTTCTCCTAGATCTCACTGGAACAACAAATACATCTTCCATCTTTGGAACCTCAATGTTATTTTTATCACAAAACAAAGAAACTTCTTCAAGTAAGCATTGTCATCCCACATCTCTCATCTTTTGTAATTGTTGATTGGATACATCAACTAACTGCATAACATTCACAATATCTTGATCACTTCGCTGCAATGCTTGAGATAGTTCATTAGTAACTCCTAATATATTTTTCAACAAATGCAAATTAAACACAAACTTGAAAGACTGTAAAGAGATCAACAACATACAAGCTTCATCTCTTTGTTTTGAGTGTGTTCCATCTTCTTTAATAATTTCAAGCACATCCATCACAGAAGAAAACATGGCAATAAAGTTAACAACAATTTTATAATGTAAACCCCAACGAGTGTCTCCAGCTCTCTTTAAAATGCTTATCTTACCTTAATTATTTGACTCGATTGAAGGATTTCTTTTCTCTTACATGAAGCACCAACCACATTAACCACACTAACAACCAAATTAAAAAGAAATGCAACCTCAACTTTTAAGCTCATTAAATTCTCCTTGCATATTACTAGTCATGTCATAACCTTGTCCTCTTATTCTTGGAAAACATAACTCATGAGTTGCAAACACATTTTCAAGAGCATTTATAAGTGAAGTAGCAGCAATACTAGAAACATGAACATGACACAAAAATCATTCAACAACTTTTCTTTTGTTATCTACATAGCGTAGAAAGATAGTCATTTACTTTTTAACAAATATGTCATGAGACTCGTAAACTAAAATAGCAAAAAAATCATTTTCAAGATCATCAATAATTGCACAAGTAGTCTCACTAGCAGTTGGATTAACAATATCTTTTTGTATGATCGGTGATACAAGTTTAAGATTGCCTCGCACATTTTTGAAAACTTTGTTAACAATTTCATTATGAGTAGCAAGATACTATAAAAGCTCTAGAAAATTACCTTGATTATAAGAATCATAAGATTCATCATGTCCACGAAACGTCAATCCTTTTCGCAAAAGGAATCGAAGACAATCAATTGTAGTTGTAAGATGAGTTTGCTATTCTTGTTTGGCTTGATTAGACTGCTTCATGATGAAAACTTCAACATGTTGCTTTTGATTCATTAGAGCTTCACATTTTCTCCAAGCTACATTATGAACACTATTAGGACCTCCAACATGAAGTTGCAATCTGCTCTTATCTTTCCAATTTTTAAATCTATCAACAACAAATGTATCACCTCCCCCTTGCTCTCCTTTAGATTAAGGTCTCATGAGGTAACAATGTAAACAAAATGCTGCATCTTTGGACACATTATATTCTAACCTACTTTTATGTTCATCGAACCACTTAGGATTGAAACTTCGTAACTTATCATTATACTTCTTCTTAGGGAACTTGTGTTCTTTTGGTTGGCAAAAACCTTTTAACAAATAAACCCTTCGAATGTCTTCATTATCATTAGGATGATATTCTATAATCTTTGGTCTTTTTTCGGGATCTCCTTGAAGATTTTTTAAATCAACTTATAAAAATCTCTTTTTTTCCGAACATGAGTTCTTTGTCGTTGTCTTCCTTTTAAAACATTTTTCCATACCTATATAAAAAAAAAGCAATTCATGATGGCAAGTTTATAGATACAAAATAAAGAAATAATAACACTTGTAAAACAACAAAGCAATTTATGGAGAAAAACAAAGCAATAAGTTTCTACAGGAAACAATAAGTAATAAAGTCCCATGAAGTCCCATAAGGCCATAAAAAACAATAAAGCAGTAAACAGGGAATGGGAAAGCAACACAATCTTTTTAAGCTTTGATGTAATTTTTATTTTTTTAACATTTCAAATTTTCAGCCGTTCTTTTTCTCCTATTTTCTAGAAGGTCTTAAAATTTTTAGTAACTGCTATACATACAACCAGAGATCAAATCATCAACCATGAAAGCCGTCGTTCACTAATCACTAGCACCGTCTATTGTCACCGACAACATATTGAGATTGTCGGAAAATAAAAAAAACAATAAAGCAGTAAATAAGTAACGTCTTTTTTTAACTGTATATTAAAATTACCGCACGTGATCTTTTCTCACATAAATTAAGGTGGACACAAATGAAAATTAAGGTAGGAATAAATGAATGAGGATGGGCACACATAGATTTCAGGGTGGTCCTGATAGAAAAATTGAATATGTAATAAATAAATTTTAATTTTCAAGGTAGACAGTGGCCACCCTCAAGCATATATATATATATATATATCAGTCACTGGTCGAACAACGTGATTAGATTTTCCAGATCTAGATCCCATGTTGTTAGGGATAGTCTCTAGGGGAGAAAATCTCGACCCATCATTTACTCCATCAGATTTGTTATCTTTACCTGATTTTTCTCCTTGGATTTTGGGAGACTTTCTTGGTTTACGTCATTGAGCTATCATCCAGGGACCAAAGTCCGACGAGCCGGAGGTCACAAATTCCTCCGGTGGTTTGTCATTGTCGATAACGATCGCTATTGTGCTTCCATCCGATTTCTCCATAGACACATTCATATGATTATTTACAATGGATGTAAGGACACTAAACCCCTAATTTATAGATACAAAGAAGATTAAAAACATGCATTATTAAAAACATTAAAAGAAAAAGAACACCCACAGATGAAACTGATGATGATGCTGGTTTTGGAGTAACAATGATGAATTTGAACAAGAAATAAAAAAAAAAAAAAAAATCTAACGCCTCCTTCCTAGACAACAAAAAGACTTTTTTTCACAGAAAATATTTTATTTTATTTAAAAAATCTAGGTATAGTGGATATAAAGCTCAAATTAAGTAAAAATATGGGTATTATATTTATAAAAATGATATATTAAACCTCAATATATTGCATTTCTAAACTTGTGAGTAGGATTGGATCTCGTTTTAAGCTCAAATTATGTCTAATTGGGCTGAGGCCTTTAAAATCCACTTAGCTACTACAGGAAGCTTTTTTCTCTGATCTCTCTGGTGTTTGCTGTGACAGACGACGGAAACAATGGCGGGGAATCAAGTGGACGCCAAGGGTTTGCCGGCCAACATAGCCGGAATGTCAAAGAACCAACTTTACGAAATCATGTCCCAGATGAAGGCACACTTTTTACTTTCTATTTGGTTTCAATTTTTTCCTCTTTTGTAACGAACGTCACTTCCTTCGTCGTCAAATTTAACTAGTAGTTTCTTTTTTTTTTTTTTGGGTACGCGCAGAAACTTATAGAACAAAACCAGCAGCAGGCGAAGCAGATCCTTATCCAAAACCCTCTCTTGACTAAAGCCCTTTTCCAGGTTTCCCTTTTCTTTTCTATTTAGTTATTTTTCTTATTTGAAAATGTTGATGAGTCTAAAATATAACCTGTTGATATAAGGCTAAAAATGGTAGAAATTGGAGAGTATGATAACATATTAGGTTAAAACAGAAAATATTATCGGTTGTAATTATTCCGGTTCCAACCTAAAAAGTTAGAGTCAAGAAATTATCGGTTTTAATTGAAATTATTACCAATTGTCTATATTTTTAGAGTATACTGGCCGCATTTTTGGTTAAAACCGTCACAATGTAACATTCTTAGTTGTAATTGCTTTTCTAAATTGGCCTTAGTTTTAGTGTTGATAGAAGTTATTTGTTGATATCCTATGCATTATTGATTGTTGGTTGCTATTATCATGAGCACTGAGTAACCCTTTAGCTTCACACTCTCTTGATATCCATTGTAAGCTAAAGTTGTAAACTTTTGTCGCCTTTACTTGTTATAGAGAATGATATTAGCTTGTGACTAGGAATTGAGTTACACGGATATGTGAATAATGCTTTATATTAAAGAATGTTATTATCGATAAGAAGCTGTTGGCATGGAACCATCCTTCTTGATAGACTAGTTGTAGAGTGCTGTGCAGCTTGATAGGCTTACCCTTCTTTTGTTTTAAATTGCATCCTTTTCTGGATGGTGTGCGGTTGATTTAGGAGCTTCCGTGCCTGACTAGATATCTTTGACTATTCTTGTTTCTTCAGGCTCAGATTATGCTTGGAATGGTTAAGCCCCCTCAAATGGTATGCTTTTGATCTCTGTAAGATTGTCTTTGAAATTATGTGTCCGGACTGTGCTTGTGTTCTGACCTTTTGCTTTTATTTAGACTCCAACCATTCAGCCACCTGCGCCGCAACAATCTCAGCAATCATCACAACCACCTCATCAGCCAAATATCCAGCCATCACTATCGTTGCCAGGTCAAGCTGGGCTGCAGGAGCAAGCTGCTCCATCTCAGAACCAGCCTCCTCTAAGGAAACAGCAGCAAAACCAAGTTGGGATGCAAACCTCAGTTGCTTCTGTTGCTGCTGCAAACCTTCAGTCTCAACCCATGCCACCATATTCCCTACAGACACTGCAGCAGACAAAGGGTCATTTGAACCCTCCTCTGTCCCTTCCACATACATCCGAACCCCCACTTCCTCTGAATTCATCTTCACAGCTCCCTCATCGTCATCAAACCCCTATGCTGACATCGTCAAGCCAGATGCAACAGTCATTGCAGACAACTGGAGTTCCTCATATGCCTCTGCATCCACCAATGCAACCACAGGCCAGGCTTCCTTTGGTTCCAAATTTTAATCATCAGTATGCCCCACAAATGGGTCCAAAGGTTGGTTTCCAACACCCTTGTCCCCCTCAGCATCTTTCACAGCTGATGTTCAATGTAAGTCAAAAGTTACAGATTGGAAATCAGTCTTGGGTTTCTCATTTGTAACATATTCTGCAATAATTCCCCTTATTGTTGAATTGCTCAGTCTGGTAATAAACCTCCTTCTAGCCATGGACCTTTGTTTCCACAAGGACAGCCACCACATGCAAATCAGATGCCACCTCAATCAACATATCAAAATCAGGTATGGTTGTTTGATATGTATTGGTTTGATCACTTAGTGAACTACTCTTATCAAGCTGATTATAAAATAATATCATGTTCTTTATCATTCTTAGTGGCATAACTATGTTGATGGTTCTAAACATTCCACTGTTCACCATGTGTGTAGGTTATTTTTTCAATATCTGAAAAAGTTCGACAAATATATGTGCCTTATCATTGGTACCATTGCTGACAGTCGGTTGAACTAATTAAATGTATGCCTTTTAGAATCGTGGATGTCTGTTTTTATTCCTTTTCTTTTAATTGTTGTATGTGAAGATGGAAATGTAAATGCAAGTTAGAAATGCATGTGGTTGTGATTGTAATATTACGTAGGTTGAATTTATGTACTTCAGTGTGGAGAAAAGTGATTGCATTTAACATCTCTTTTCATTGTACAGAAGTCAGCAAGTAGAAATATATTTGCAGTTATCAATGAGCAGTTTATTCTGTCGTTGAAGAAATGAATTGTTGCTTCTTTTCTCCTTAACATGGATTCATCATGAAGTAGAAGCTCCCCCTTCTCTCTAAAAATTTAGGCGTTTTTCAAAAATTTCGTTCTCCTTCCCTTTTATTTCCTTTAGATGGCAAGTCAGGTGAGAAGATCTGTTGGGAAAAGTTGCGTTACAGTGATTATTTTCAATATTCCAGAGTGTCTTCATCATCAAGTTTTTTGGTTATTGTTTGATAAATATGGCGAGGTGGTCGACTCTTTCATTCCCATCAAAAGAAGCAAGGGAGGAAGCAGGTTCAGTTTTGTCCGATTCTCTAGATTGGAGGACGCGAGGAGGGCTATCTTCTGTGCTGATAGATCTTGGATTCAAGGTAATAAGGTTAGAGTTTTCATGGTAAGATTTCAACCTCGTGATGTTTTCTGGAAGAGAAAGGTTACTGGTTCAAATTCAACTATGGTCAAGAGTAGAGAGGAGGATGTCAAAGAATCTCCCATTATCGGTGTAGTTGACGAGGATAAACTAATTACTCTTAGAGATAGTTTGGTTGGTTGGTGCAGAAAATTTATAAAAATGAAAGAGTTAGCTGCTGTTATGCATAAGGAAGGCATTTTAGGCCCGAAAATTATGAGGTTAAGTGGTTTAGCAATTCTGATCATTTTTGAAGATGAAGAGAGTAGAGACTTTGCTCTAAAAAATCATATTGGAGCGTTGAATAAATGCTTTGACAAAGTGGAATTGTGGTCGGAAAACTTTCAGTGTAGCAGCCGACGGGCATGGTTATCGTGCAGAGGGATTCCACCTTTTGTGTGGAGCCATTCTACTTTCAGAAACATTGCAGGAAAATGGGGAACTCTTATCTCAATTGACGCAGGGACCTTATATCCTGGCTCGTTTGATAGGGCCTTATTTCAGATCATTATGAACTGTAAAGTTCGAGTGGAAGAATCATGTGTTTTGAAAGTCGGGGATCAATCTTTTTACAGTATTTGTTTCCGATATTGAACCTTGCTTTAGCCCTGATTCCGTCTGGAAGGATTCGTCTGTATCAGAAACAGAAGTTGCTTCACCGTTACCCACGGAGGGGGACCTCGATGGTGTCTTGCCAGTAAAGTCTTCCGAGTTGGCGGTATGTACTGGAACGTTTTCACGAGTTAATTATGATTCCACTAATATTAAGAAAGTTCAGCTAGAAAATCGAGCGTCTATTGATGGCACGCATATTGGGGGCGGTATGTGTGGTTCAGGTGAGGTATGGGCTGTTAAAGTTGTGTCCCCGACAGTCAGTAATGGGGTAGTTGCGCATGGGACTGATATCCATTCTAAAAGGTTCTCGGAGACCAAGAAGGTGGATTTGGTTAGTGGGGCAGCTGTGCAGGAGCATGTCTATCAAAGTGGTGGTATTTTTCAGGCTTTGGAGAGTGTTAGTGGGGTACACGAGGAAGTGTTGATTCAAAATAAGAGAGGGGCAGAAGAAGACAGCAGGAAAAGGTGTGAACCTGCACGTGCTTCTGAGGAATATTCTTTTCATTCCCCCATGTTGGATGGGCATCATAAACAAAAAGCTGTGGAGGAGAGGAAGGCAATTTTTAGTTCTCTCAGAAATTTTCAAGTCAAATTTGCGGCTCAAACTAGGAAGCCTTGTTAAAGTCGTAGTATGAATCCTCAGAGGAAGGTTAAGGCAGTGGGTGTTTTGGAACTTTCAGGTGATTCCTTTCTTTTATCTGTATGAAGTTGGTTTTTTCGGATGGTTTCTGTCGACAAGTCGAGCAAGAAGAGGCGTTAAGGTGGAAGCTGATTCTTGTACTCTGTTCGTGTGGAAGTTAAGGATTTTGTCTTTAAGACGGATGATGTTTCTGGTTATCTGTTCGTGCGGAAGTTCAGGATTTTGTTTTTGATTTTGTCTGTTAGACTGTTATGGATTGAGTTAGCTGTGATATTCGGCTTCTGGTTTGTTTTGTGTTGGTTTTCGGGTTATGTTCAGGATTTTGTTTTGTGACTGTTGTTGTAGCTTATAAGGTTTTAGCTGTGTTAGTGTTGTCGTGTAGGGTTTTCTCGGTTGTTTTTGGTTGTTTGCTTATGTTGGGGGTGGCGACCTGGTTGTATTCTTATGTTTTTTTTTCTGGTTAATGAAATCTTAAGGCACTCTTTTCATCCTTCCGCTGATTAAGGAGCTTTTTACAAGATCCTTTAATCAAAGAGGTTTTTAACGAGGCCTGCAATTCCTATCAAAAAAAAAGAATTGAATTGTTGCATCTTGATATATGCATTAGAGTTCTTGCTGAAAGCTAGAAAAATTGTAATCCATTGAGTGGAGTGAACAAAGATTATGAGTTGGTAACTGATTCTGAATTTAATAAAAGATAAAGCTTTAACAACTGAATTAAATTATCCCAATGAAAGAAGTGAAGCAGTTAAACTATTTATTTTTTGTATGTTACATTTAATTATTAGTTTTGCTACATTTTCCTTCCAAAAGCAAAAAGACGTGAAAGAATTTCTAAAAACAATAAAAGGTTGGTAGTTTTACGATAATTATGTATGATTTTAGTTTTGTATGGGACTAATAGATTTGAATTAAGTTCCATTTTAAATTTACTTAATTTTTAATTAACTATGATCTGCTCCTTACCATTCAACTTTATTTTGTCTTCAGACTTCGCTAATTGACAACTTATTGTTTTAGGCAGGGGGCTTGCATTTAGGATCCGATTTTGGCAGCCGTGTTGGGGGTACCATGCAGACGGATAGAGGAACTTCTCGGATGCTTAGCCAACCAGATAATTCAATAGCAACACAACTCCAAGGACCCTCTCTGTTGGTTCCTGGTCAGATGGGTCTAGGAAATCAGCCTCCTCGTCCTGCATCGGTAAGTATCCGGACTTTCTAGTTTTCATAGAAGTTCTAAAATATCAGTAGCTCAGATAGTTGCATTAACAGTTTGATTTTCCATTGGCTCTTTGTAGTTGACTCCGGAGATGGAGAAGGCATTACTTCAGCAGGTCATGAGCCTCACTCCAGAACAGATAAATCTCTTGCCTCCAGAGCAACGGAACCAAGTTCTTCAGCTACAGCAAGTTCTGCGCCAATGAAAATGCTCACACTTCAGCCGGTGATGGAAGGCATTGTTATGCCTTTGCTGATCAATGGATGAAATTTGATTTGTTGATTCAGTACGGCTGCTAATTTGCAGACCATTTCATCTTAACCGCTTTGAGCTTATGCCTTATCTAGATTGGTAGCTTCTACATTTCTTCCATGGGTACTTAGTTAACACATTGATGCTGTTGATCATTTTCTGCTACTCTGTTTCTTCGGCTTTAGCAAACTAAAAATATAGGGAAAATTTTGAGAAAAAAAGGGAATTAGTTCACATTTTTGGACAAGAACATTAATGTCCAGTACAGTTGCCATTTCTCATATTTTCTTATTATTCTCTTATTGTGTTTACTCAATTTTGTGAGTTCTAAACTTTTAGAGTTCTCTAATGTTATAACTTTAGATACACAAGGGGAAATTATGTACAGTTAAAACTACAAAAGGAAAAATTAACATGCTATCACTTCCTCTTCTTATCTTCCTTTTCTATTTCAAGTACCACCGGAGCTGCTGGGATGCTGAACCACCACTCTCTCAATCTCCTTGTCCATCTTTCCGTGCTTGCTTTCCTCGGGGGCGAATACCTCGTAAACGTCTCCAAAAATATCAGGAGAAACATGTACTTTCCTGGCAATAAGGCCAGTACCAAAGCTGCAAACAGAAGTATGACCGCTAATTTCTCGATTGCCTAGTGCATTAACATCATAGTCGAAATCAGAGACTAACAAAAACAGTCTAATCAGTTTTATATGATTATGAAAGTTGAAAAATCTGAGAAGGTGACATGAATTGTAGACCAGTTTATAGACAATAAACAGACATATCTACTATGGTGAAAAGGAGAGAGTAGAACCTTTGGAAAAATGGACAGCAACAAGGCACGGAACTTTAGAAGAGCTATGTTTCCATCTTGGATAAGCTGCTCAGCTTGAGATATCGCATTCTGAACAGCCAAAAGCTGCTCCATTGTGTTCACAGGCGTAGGTGCTATTATCTTAATTTCATCCACAGGCCTTCCTTGGTTGAAAAGTCGTGTAAGAGCCATGAAGATAGCAAAGAAAAACACCGTTAATGCAAAGGCATAAGCCAACCATCCCCAGAAATGGACAACAAATGAATGCCATTAAGATCATGCAAAGAAACTGTAGAGTTCTATGGTAAAATGTCTTCTATTCGATCAACCAATATCCAATCAAACATTTTCTTTTGATATGAGAACCTAAGCTGATGGTATCCGATCAAGCATTTACGAAATTTGACTCTCAGGTATCAATTGATCTACACTGCTCCAACTTAACTAAGGATTATTTATCATATGTTCAGATAGACAAAAAAAGAAGGAAAAGCCACGTGGTGCATTTAGAACAGGTGAAGGTGCATTCAAAATGAATACATGAAAGAAAGTGCTAGATTATGAACCTTTCCCTTGTGGTAGAGCAGGGATTAAATTCTTCTACTTCAAGATTGGTTTTTCTTTCACACAAACCCTTCAATCGTTGTAATCATGCCTAAGACATATTTCCCCGACTCAGCAGAGTACATAAGCTAAGAAATCTAGAAATCAAATTATTTACATTGACTTCCAGATATCATTGGAACTACACCAGCTTATCTAGGGAAAGTTAGTTACAAAATGCAGATGGAAGAAACCAATCATTAGAGGCAATAGGGAGAAAATACTGCACTCCAAAAGGTACAAGTGTAATAAAAAATGTTAGGAAAGAAACAAGTATATACACACCCAACAATTGTTCTAAAACATATTTCATGTCCAAGACAATTGCTTTGTCTGTTTTTCGAGTACGTATCTAGTCAGCTCGGCTGTTAGATGCTTTACAAAACGATATCAGTAGCAATTGGAATAACTAGCATTATACCACCAAAAAGTATTGCATTCACTACCATGTTCTCAGGGAACAATTAATAATTAAAATAACAAAACGATTTTATTCAATTTACCTTACCTGAAAATTATGAACGTGAAAAGCAAACAGAACATTAATGACTTTGTAGGATCATCCCAATATATCAAAGAAAGAAGAGACTTCCCAACTTCTGTCAGTGGAAGAAGTAGCTCCTGACAGTAGAAAGGAATGCAAAAAATGCAGTTCAAATTAATCACTTTGCTAAAAAAACGCTGAATTTTATAATTTGATGGCATCACTAACAGACATGCGCACATGACCTTTATAATGCCCACCAACTACATTTTACTTGGTACTCAAAATTCAATAAACAAGGACAGTAAATCAAAACAATTATTTTTAACAAACTGATTTGCAGTTGAATAATGACAAGGAGCAAGATTTGGCATTTTGTAAATTCTAAAGAGAATAATACCTTCATAACAGCTAAATTGGTGTCAATGCCACCTACTTTAACCCCATCGACAGTCTGTTGTGCTTGCACCACCTTTTTGTAGTTGTTACTAGACTCCTTATCTGCTCTCTCCAATAAACTCATCTCACCCACAACTAGTTCGCCAACAAGAAGCCCATCCTCACTTGGAGTACTTGAACTTGAACCAAACACAAAACCCAAGTTTGAAACCATTGCCAACGCTGAGATGGAGTACATGCCACCTCCAGCCACACGATTGTTAGCCCGTTCTAATTTCCTAGAATTTGACATATTTGCAAGAGTCTCCAGTATCAGATCTCCCCCAGGTAATTGATCACAAAGATTAAACATGAGAAGGGACTCAAACCGAACATCGTTTGAGAAACTCATTTCTTGAATGGTTTGTACTCGTAAAATTCCAAGAATAGCTTTTGAAAGTGCATCATCCTTTTCAACTCCCTTAATATGGTACTTGTTTATAAATTTATGAACATATAAAATTGCCTGGATTATTGCTAGCCAGTAATCACGCCGAGTGTGCCCTTTAAGCTCAGGCAACTCTATAACAACTGGTTCTGATCAAAAAAAGTAACAAAGTAAACAGTCAATAGATAAATTATATCCTCGGACAAGCATTATGTTAAGATTTAAAATTCAAGATTGATTTAACACCAATATATCACAGAATTCTACAAGGAGAGAAAATGAAATAAATCTGCACCATGCCTTACAAGGAAATTGATTTGTACAACACTGCCTTGTCAAAAAGTCGTGTACCCCATGGTCCAGTCAACTCAGGTTTAACAATTTGTTTTAGATCATCTGACAAATCATATATCTTTTAGGCTTATCATAAGATACAACTTTAAGGGCTTCAAAGTACAATGCATGATCAGTCAGTACCAATCGACCTGCAAACATGCAAGAACAACCTCAGAGCAGGCTATTTGCAAAAATTGAGGTGAGAGAATCAGTAGATTGGGGAAAGGAAAGAATATTATTGTAGAAATGATTATCATCAAGGAAAAAAGAAATCAAATTGTATTAAATACAATGTTTGCTGCCCAATAAAACTTACCTGGCCATGTTGATACTCCAACATGTTCAAGAACTGGTTGAGTAGTGACTGTCCCATCCACCTGAAGTATCATTTCTCCTCTTGATGCTCGAACAACAGACAGAAGAGATGACTCCGTTTGGCTCTTCATCCTTTTTATCACTCTATAAAATAACTTTTAGAATACCACATTTAGACATGCAAACCTACTAAATAAGAGATCCTAACACAAATTACTAAGCCTCTGATTACTACAAAACTTCTGCGGACAAACTCAAAACTAAAAACTGAAGAGGGGCATAGTGAGCAATCAAATAAAAACGATGGTCATGATAGGATCCTTCATTTTAAGTATTTACTATTTTAAATAATTGATTCCTTAATATTATGAATTTATACTAGAATATTTAATTTCCTTAAATGTTCTCTATTTCCTTGTGCGATAACCCTAATTCTTGGTCACCAAGGATTTACTATTTTTCACTGTAGGGCTATGAAGAAACCATTAAGAAATTCGTTGTCAAATGTGATATTTGACAACATAATAAAAGTGAGAGTTGTTACTCCAGATTTACTTCAATCTCTATCAATTTCTGAGGAGGTGAATTGATATATTTACGGATTTCATTGATGGTTTTCCAATATCTCAAAGGAAAAACCACCATCTTTGTGGTTGTGGATCATCTCACAAAGAATTCTTATTTTTGTGCTATTCGACATTCTTATACTATCGCAAATGTTGCTAGTATTTTTTGCTGAAAATATAGTGCGATTGCATGAAATTCTGCAATCCATAGTCAGTGATCGAGACAAGGTCTTTATCGGTACCTTTTGGAATGAACTTTTTCGCATAAAGGTACTCAATTGAATATGAGTACTGCCTATCAGCCACAAACTGACAGGCAGACTGAAGTAGTGAATCAGTTCTTAGAGAACTATATTTGGTGTTTCATGGGTGTCAAGCCAAAAGATTGGGTTAAGCGGATACCATGGGCAAACTGGTGGCATAATGCCACATATCACTCTTCAATAAAGATGATTCCATTTGAAGTAGTCTATAATCAACTTCCTACTATGTTTGCTAAATATGTGCCGGGTTCTTCTAGAGTCGATCAAGTGGACAGGGAAAAGTGTGACAGAGATAAGGTGATCAAACCTTTAACAGATAATCTAGTAGCTGCACAGGCTCAAATGAAGCAACAGGCAGATAAACACAAAAGTGAACTAGAGTTTGCAGTATCAGATTGGGTTTATCTTCCCCTTCAGCTGTATAAGCAAGTTTCCTTAAAGGTTCGATCTTCTATGAAGTTATCTCCTAAGTTCTATGGGCCTTATAAGGTGTGTGCATTGGCCCAGTAGCATAGCGATAAACTTGCCTATCAATTCTAGGGTCCATCCGGTCTTTCATGTTTTGTGTCTCAAGAAGCAAATATGAGAGGATAATGTAATGCGACATCATCTACTAGATATTACTATTCATGAGAAATCCAAATCACACCTCAAGCCATATTGGATAGGCGTATTGTGAAACACCACATATATTCTACTACTGAAGTACTTGTTCAATGTGATAATTTACCAATTGAAGATGCTACTTGGGAATCCTACAAGTCGTTGGAAAAGAAGTTTCATGAGTTTGTGGCTGCTCAGTCTTGAGGACAAGACTGTTTTTAAGAGGCAAGGAATAACATGATATTTGATTTTAGGAATTCATTATTTTAAATAATTGATTCATTAATCTTATGAATTTATATTATAATATTTAATCTACTTAAATATTTTCTATTTCCTTGTTCGGAAATCCTAATTCTTGGTCACCAAGGATTTATA